CTCAAAATACCCCCTTATCTCCTGTTGCCTCGATGAGGACAAAATTATTTTACTTTATCTGAAGCATTTGCTTTTTTTCATTTTGTAGGGGGAGATCGTGAAGGTTTATGCTAATGAGCAGAGAAAAATTACTTGCGGTGAGTTTGTTGAGAAGATTTTTTTATCTTTGGTGGATAGCATAAACTTTTGCATGCCTTTTGTGTTTGAATTGATTAAGTACCTGAGGTCCGTCCCTAGGGGAGTAGGGGTGCAGCGCAGCGTCCCACATAGGCCCACAAAAGTGATATGTCAATACAAATTAAACTAACTCCACTACCACTCAATTAGAAGTAATTTCTCTAATTTTAAATACGAAGCGGGGCGGTTGGGCACAGCTCATCACTATCCATCCCCCCTCCCCTAAGGCTTTATAAAATAATGCTAGTTCTGTGCTGGCTGTTAAGTACAACAACAGAGGATTCTTATCTGTGCAGATCCTGAAATGAAGGAGCTCATCGAGAAAATTCTTTCAATTGGGCATGTGTCTTATGAAGTTCTGCTACCTGTATGTGGTCTATACTTCTCTCTAGTGGCCTGCCAAAGGCTCAAAGCATTCTTGCTGCACCTTTTCTATTTCATATAACCATTGAAAAGTTAATTTTGCAGGTTAAATTTATAAATATGTGGGATCCTGCCTTATTGGCAATAAACAGGGAAGGTTACAGCATTAAGTGTAATGGACAGCGTGGTGTTGTTATGACAGAGAAATTCCGGCAAGCTACGACTGTATGGTTCTGAAAATCATTTTCCTTAACATTACTCTGTCCTTGCTGCTATTATACTCCTCGTAGTCTAAAAAAATTGTGATGCCTGTGATAAAATAAATATTTTGAAATGTCGTTATCAGTATCCTTGTAAATAACTAAGTATTAGTTGGCTGCATGGAGTTTATGTTAGCATATTTTCATAAATTTTACTTTCCTGATGGTATAATTCAATTCTGGACATTTAATAGCTTTTGCAAATCTTATAAAATGACGGGTTGAATTCTGCAGGCCGCAACAGTAAACGTAATTCCTGTTGTGATCAGGGCAGTAGTTTGTTTGCTACTTTTGCTTCTATGGATTTTGTAAAAAAAAAATCTCAAACAATGGACCGAATTTTCCATTGCATCGCTTGTTCAGCATGTATCAGTTTACAGGTGACAGCTATAATCTCGTACTATGTTTACAGATCAATATCCCATATGGGCGTCTCACTGAATTTTCAATCCAGTCTGCTAAGGGTACTGAGTACAATCTCAAGCCTGCAAAAAGTTCCCCGTGAGTTAAATTTCTAGCATATTTGCATTGCAGTCCATTGAGTCACATGTAGTAGCTAGCTGCACATCGTGTGATGAACACGAAACCTTGGCATCGGAAGAATACCAGTGTCGGTCAGTTGTCGTTGTTATTGTCTCTGTCTTTGTGGTGTTTTTTGAAGAATAACGAATCAAGAGCCCAAGACGTTGAAACCGTGTCGAGCTTGTAGGTACTAAATGAAGGGTCTCTGAATTGTTTTGCAGATCACGAGATGCCATCGTTCTAATACTGAGGCTGTACAGAATGAAGGTTCGGGCATTCTCTCTTTTTTTAGTGAGGCATTTTGTCTCGTCACGTGCTTTAATTTGTGTCTGCTGTGCCGAGTCAGGGTCACTAGAACATGTTTTCACAGGATTTATCTATGTATATTTCCTCTATCCCAAAATAAGTGTCGTTGATTTAGTACAAAGTTTAATGGAGGGAGTAGTTTGGAGTACTAAGCTCGTGTTTGCTGTTTTGTGGTACATGATGGAAATGTGGGACTGAAAAGGAAGATGTGTGTGTGTGTGCGCGCGTGTGTTTTCTGCAGGCTCTTGAGAAGCGTAAAGGAAGGAAAAGGGGGATCTTCTTCATGTAGAGTAGAGTAGAGTGCGGTGGGACGCTGTACTGTTTTTCCGGTAGAAAAGAAGTCGTGGCGTATTCCCCCGCGGTGTCAGACCCTAAGCTGTAGATCAAACAATCGGAGCATGAGAATTCAGGAAAATTGCTCAATTGGGGAGGAATTTTTATATCCTCTTTGTATAGACCAAGAGTGTATGTGTTGTATGTACATTACATACTAAAATAGCACTGAGATGAATAAACATGGGATCGGCTACAGTCCAGCCTCTTATAGGCGTCACAGGTGAAAGATGTAATAGGCGGTAAAGTAAGTAGACAATTGCTCAATGGTAAATAGTATCTGGATGAGCGACAGGGTTTTGCCTGGAGCGATATGGGCCATTGGATAACTGAAGAATTGAACGCTTCTTCTGACCATGTTCGACACTTTGCCGGTAAGCAGCGGCTAGGATCTGAGAATGCCCCCTCCTAAGAAGTGATATCTCAGGGCACCAGATTAGGAGCGCTGTGGAGCGGAAGAAGTTCGGAGTAGACCGAGAGTGTGATGTTTTCCCGAAACATCTGTTGAGCAAACTCAGGACCCCACTGCCGCTGGATACCAGGCTGGGAGAATTTAGAAGCATGGACAATGTGGTTTCCTGAATGCTTCCCAGGATGCAGATCATGGTGGATAGGAGTCACTGGACTATCTACGTCTACATCCTTCGGAAGATGACGCCGTTCATGTGAACCGAGGCTGAGGGACGTTTCTCAAGTCATAGACATCGTCCAGAGGTCAATGCTTGGTTGAAGTGTATAATGACAAAAGGCGATGGTGCTCCCCTGGTGACTACAATTCAGACATGACGGCGGTGAAACCCTCTAACAAGATTGATGGTAATGGATTTCATGTGAAGACAAGACAAACCTCTACTCTGACGCTGGTGTCACATGTATTTACGACAGTTGCACTACATTGTGTTTGGTGACGATGTATTACTTATTCGCAATCGGTGATATTACTTATTTGCAAATGCTGATGGTCAGTTCAAGATGATTTTGTTTCCAAGAAAAGATTATCTTGCATAGAAACATGATAAGAGCTTATGAAAAAACATGTTACCCCTATGTTCTACTCTCTTTTTTCTGTCTTTTTTCCCTATTTGATTTTCCTTTATTATTTCCTTTTTCTTGACTTTAGTCCTGCAAAATACTAGAGGTGTCTTATATGAATGTGTACTATGTTTCTTCACAAGTTTGCTGTTTGTTTTGGGGTTTTTTGGATTCTTTGAGAAATGAAATAAGTGCAACCAAGTTGTGCTCAAGTTCGAAACAATCCTTGGTCAAATCGCATGATGTGGTCACCGGGGATGGTCAATCTGGTGCAAAATATTATAAGCGCATCAAGGTCAAGGAACACTACCATCAAAATGCAGTCACTCAAGTCACTCACAAACCGTTGGAGTGTGATCCTTGAGTGTTGCAATCGGTGGGTTGGTTACTTGGAGCAAGTGAAGAACACGCCTCCTAGTGGTGCCATAGTTGATGAATATGTGAGTGCTTTTGTCATCTTTGTGCACTGCATGTTTAGAATATTTTTCAATCATATTTGCTCATGAAACCACCTTCTGGTTGTATATGTTGTAGGACAAGTTCACTCAAGAGAGATACAAGCAAAAAACCAAAGTCAAGAGGTCATTGTTGGGCATTTCTCCAAAACAATGGGAAGTGGAGGAAGAGGAATGATGAGGCTTCATAGAAGAGACCGAGGTCAAGCACCTCTTCCTCTCTAAATCTTGAAAGTGACGATGAAGATAAAAGGAAACTAGGAATGCTTCTTTGGAGTCTATCAAGGGGCGGCCCGATGGGAGGAAGAGGGCAAAGAAGAAGCTCAAAAGAGATGGAAAGGTTGTGGCAATGAAAGACAAGATTGATGAATTCGCCTAATGCAAAGGAGATGTCGGCTCAAGCTATGCAAAAAAAAAAGTTAGAGTTGGCGGAGAAGAAGCAACAACAAAATATGACGATGTGGCAAAGAGACAAAAGAGAATGAGAAGCACAAGGACGACATGGATAGGTTTAGGTTTCTTGACGAGAACCAGTTGAGGCAAGAGATGGGGCCGAGGAGAATCGTGCTCATGGAAGATAATCAAATGAGATATGAAAAGGTGAGATCCTTTTGAGAGATGATGCGGGCAGAGATCTTGGCATTCTAATATTTTATCTGCTCAACCAAACACCAAGACGGAACCATTCCATTCCATCTCGTTATCTCTACCGAACACAAGAACATAACCGTTTCATTCCAGTGGAATGTAACCATTACATTCCATTCCACTTGGTTCCTCAACCAAACACACCTCTAGTGTCCATTGGAGCAGCGCACAATTTGAAGGAGTGGTACCGACATGTAATGATTTTTGTGTTGAAGATATGAGCATGATGTTGTTTTTGGTTAAACTCCGCTTCTGGATGACGGTTATCTTGTTTTATCCGTGCATTTCCATCCCAATGGATCCAAAAGACATGAGCAAGATGCAGTGTACAGGCTCGCGACATCAATACAAGCGTGGCAACTATTGCAATCTACTGTTGGATAGCCAACTGGTAATTTACTTAGTTCCAATTTCTCATAATAGCTTTTGCCAGCGACCAGAAGAAACCGCACAGAATAAAACCGAAGACAAGCCTCGGCAATCCTATTTATACAGAATGCAAACATGTGGGTATTAGCTTGGTGAGCTGTGACCTACAGGTCCCTGTTAATAGAGGATGGCCATGATAGCCTCCTCTGGTTGACACTGTCGAGTCCATCACTTTCAGGGTTTACGTCGTCCACTTGGTTCCAGCTATTGAGCATCGAGCCCTCTCTCCACTGAGGTGGCGTCAAGAACTTTGAATCATCACTGGAGCCACCTGGGGTCATTGACAGAGAAGGACCAACACGTAGTGTTTGAAGAGTAGAAAAGGATTCCCTCATCGCAGACATGGCCTCGAAGAACCGGGTGCAGGATGCAAGCGCAGCAGGTATCGGTCGTAGCATTTCCTTCACGGAGATAAAAGATAGCGATTAAGCCTATGTTGCATGGTATAATGCGTAGACAAGAAATAGTTGCCATAAGACAATGCAATCAGAACGCGCAAAGTCATTCTACACTAACATGATAAATCATTTGTCATCTCTGGATTTGACAATGGTAGCATTAATATTTGCGTCTGTAGTGGAAGGTGTTTTGCGGAGGATAAATTCACTATGGCTACTCATTTAATTACCAGAAGGAGTATTTTTAACTTACACCCCATACAGCAGGCGACTCTCTGAAGTTTTGACTCCACTGGAAATCTCCAACTGATGCTGTCAATGCCCCATAGTCACTTGCCGCTTTCAGAAGCAGCTCCGAGAATTGTTTCTGAGGAGAAGCAAGTACAGTGAGTAGCAAATATTACAACACGTTCGCCCAAGAAACCACACATTCCTTTGTACAGAAATCACCCAAGCAGATGCAGCTAAGATTCTCCTCCATAAATCAATACATTGTAAAGAAGGCCAAGAATCGGAAAACTGGTTGTGGGTTTCTACTAGATACACCATTTTTAGTTTGCATGAATGAGTTAATGATATATTTTCTATAAAAAACTGAAATCAAAAGGATCAAGAACCCGACCTGGTATTCAGCTTCAACAGGAATGCAATCAAGCGAATAAGGTTGCTGCAGACGGGCAATAATGCGGTCCTGACAGAAAAGGGTTGTTATTTTGATATCCAGATCTTGTAATTGGTCAATTTATATGGTATATGGAGCAGTCAACAGCACAGGCAGAACTTTGTTCATACAATAACCTGAGTAACAGGTAGTCCCAAGAAAGAAAGGAATCAAGTAAAATAAAACTAGTGATTTCTGACTTCCAGTACCTTGTTTTGAATAACATCTTTCAAAATAGCAGTAATTCTGGCCAACGATTCACACTTCTTTTCCATTTCACTAACATGAGTCAAATGAGCAATGTTTTTATCATCCTGCGATAATCAAAAGTTCATCAGTATGATCAACGAAGATAACTGACACAAATCAAAAGCCCGAAAACTGAATACACCATCATTTGGAGACGATATATAACGAAGTTTACAGGTGAAATACAAATTGGGCGCTTGCTATTTTGCTTGTAATAACATTTAATAGGGCGTAAACAGTTTAAAGTTTTATACGTCACCAGTTAAAAGCTTTAACCTTGCACATTTAGAGCGGAGACCTGGGCGTTGCAATTCATTTTTCAAACATCAAAGCCTAGGTACAGCAAGTGTGAGCAGCAATCAGATTCATAGACAGATATAAAATTATTATTTTCACTTAAGAAGAAAAAACTGATCCATGTTATTAATATACTTTCGCCACCATTGTAACAGAATGAAAAGGATATTCACTACAGCGAAAGAAATTGATGAAATCTAAAAGCGTTGATCAAAAGCCCAAGTAATATCGTGTAGTAAGGGATCTGAAAAGTTAACCAACAAGCATTGGCATCGCACAGAATTGTTGTAAACATACAAACAGCAGCAACTGGTCGTCAACCCATTATCTTTCTGCCTTGTAGCTCGACTTGCAAATTGGCAATGTTCCGCTGCACGACCGTCAGCTCCCTTAATACCCTCACCAGGTCATCACTTTTGTCGGTGTTCTGATCTTCCTGCAATGGTAAGTGACAAAAAAAGTGTAAAGACTTAAGAAGCATACGTGACCATATCCTACGAAATAAAAAGAATGGTCATTTCATCACCATCACTTTTAGTGATACGGAGCACTGTAAATTTCATGGAGCTAGAAAGCGCAACAAAACAGAGGGATATATAGCAATCTTACAGCTAACAGTTTTAGATGGATTAAAACTAACTCCAAGATAGGTTTCATTAGATAAAGAACCCTACAGGTTATAGTCACCAAACTTAAGAGGGGATAATTCCCCATAGATGTTCCTCTCAGGGCTAGCAAAGCGTACTGGACTCCCCTGAACCTACCCGCTTAGCCTGTTCAAACCATGCAGAAATTGCAGTGATAGGGTCCAATTCAGGTGCGGCACTCTGTTCCAAACCTGCATTTCACAATCCCCGGGCACGATTTACCAGGAACAGAACCCTACAAATTACCTGAAAGGAACAAGAATTCGACCGGGAGATTCGGATCTCGCGAAATGGCGGCGGAAGAGACGAATTGACAGGAGACGCAGCCAAGGGGTGGGGGTAACCTGCGCGGGAGGGGCCGGGAAGCCGAGGTCCCCGGCGATGGCGAGCGCCTCCGCCATGCCACCGAGCCGCTTCGCCGGCTTCTGCGCCGCCGCCATGGCCTCGACCGGTTGTTGGGTGAGCTGGTGCGCGTTGCGATTTCGCCTCGCCGGCCGGTTGAGCGTTTGCTGTAAGTCGAGTACGGAGTACTACCGTTTTTGAACCGAAATGCCTCCAAATGTCAAAATGCTGCTGAGCTTCCCTATGCTCGCTCTTCGGTCTTCATCGCAATAAAAAAAATTAGAGCATGGTTAATACTAGTAGCACTAGTATGGTGTATCATTAATACTAGAGTGTGACACGCGCGTTGGTGCGCCGTTCTTCGGTCACGAGTTAAGTCTATTTTTCTAATTTTAGGTGCGGTCTATTACTGTCGGTGGATAATTGTCCACTGCCGACCATGTTTAATCATCTCCACAAAAATATATACAAAGGGTGTTGAATGTAAACTCCATCTAGTATAATTGGGCTCAATTCTTGCACATTGCTTACATGATGGAACATGAATAGTAAATCTAGAGTAATTAGCTCTATGCATGATGATTCACACATTTTATCACGCAATGAAATGCATCGACGATTCAACTTGTATGAGCCATCGGCCTCTTCATGCAATTCAAAAGCGAGAGCCTTTAAATTACACAGTAGGTAGTACACCTCTAGCTATGTAGCTAGTTCGTCCTTTCTCGGTGGGACCGATTGCATATTTTGGTGAGACCGAAATAATTACAACAGGCAATAGAGAGTTTGCAAGGCCATCTCGCTGAGACTGAAATTCGTATCGGTGTGACCGAACTATCTAGGGTTTCCGGCAGTGGCTAGGTCAAATAAACTCGGTGGCGCCGGATAGATCAAATCGGTGGGGCCGAGTTTGACTTTGAGTTTTGGACAAATGTGAAAATGAGAAAGTGTCTGAGGGTTTTGGAGCAATATCACTAAGCACTTGAGCAAGTAGACCATTAAGCAACACCTCCCCTTTTAATATATTGGCTTTCCTATGGACTCAATGTGATCTTGGATCACTAAAATAGAAATGAAGAGTCTTGAGCTTTTGCCAATCTTTGTCCTTAGCATATTGAAGGGGTTTCACATCATCTTGTCCTTGCGATGTCATTGTTGAACTGATCTGAAATACACTAGGTGAAAGGTATTAGTCCAACAAAAGATATGTTGACATTAATTGCCAAAATCACCCAGGGAGCACTTGTGCTTTTAGGAGGAGCACTGGTAGCATGTCCCAGGGATGTAGCTATGTTGCTGAACCTCGCTAACAAATCTCGTTGCCGTGCTTGTGTTTGTGTGATTGCTTGTCCTCGATGGATAGATAGTGGCCTCAGATTAATTCTAACAACGCAAAGCCGTCCCTCCTATTTTTGGGGGACAAACATTTTTCACCAAGACATTTAGTGCATCCTCCTCTGGTTGTCCTCATCTCCCAAAAATGTGACATTATGTCAATAATTCCTTTGCATTTCTTCAGGAATTTTAAAGATAGACATAGCATAGTTAGGACTAGCTTGAACAATAGACTTGAGAAGAACGGATAAGTATTTTTCTTTCCATCCACTAATTGTCATAATAATACCATGAATCAAATATTGAAAACATGTAGTCTAATCAAAACCACATTGTGTAGCAACAAATCCATTTTTTTGTCATGGAGAGCCTCGGTCATGATATTCAGGTTGGAGCAAATTTGTTCTGTGGTTTTCACTCTTGTATTAAGACTAAATAAGATGCTAGATTTATCAATGCTCACCATTTTCCCTGAATGACACAATCTGAATCAAGATTTGATTTCAAAGCCTCGACATTGTGAAGATTAGCTTTCATGAGGATAAACGAGTCATCAACAAAGAGAAGATTTGTAATAGAGGGCATCTCTACAAACCTTCACTCCAAAAATATTTTTATTTTCCTCTACATGCGCCAATAGAGAAGTCACAAGCTCTGTTCATATCAATAATAGATAAGGAGATAAAGGATATCCCTGTCTTAATCCTCTTGTAGCCTTAAAGCTATCACTTTCTTCTGCATTAATGTGAACCCGATATCGAGACACATTGGATAATAAAAAACCCAAGTCCCTTGGAATCCAAGTTTCAACATAATGCGCTTCAAGAAAGTCCACTCAACCCGGTCATAAACTTTGTGCATGTCAAGTTTGATAGCGCACAAAACCTCTTTGTGTTCGTCTTATTATTTGTAGTATGAAAACACTCATAAGCCACTAAAACATTGTCCATGATCATTCTTGCAGGCACAAATGTACTTTCAGCCAGGCTAATAATTTCTGGCAGAAAAACCTTCAACCGAGCAACAACCATTTTTGAGATAATCTTGTACAACATGATACATAAATTGATCGGTGTAAATTGGGTTACCTTCTCATGAGAATAAACCTTAGGCATCATCACACTCACAGTATCATTCCATCAAGACGGAATAGTGCAACACGACCTGTAGAAGCTCATCCCCTAACATAGATCAAAATATCTTATAAAAAATAACATGGAGTCTATCTGGTCCTGGAGCTTTTAAATCACCAATATCAAAAAGAGCCTTTCAAACATTTTCAGCGTGATAAGGGGCGAGAAGGGCATTATTCATCTTCATAGTCACTCTTCTTCAAATAAGAGATAAAACTTAATGATTCGGTTGTAAAACTTCTAAGGTGAAAAGATTATAAAATAACTCGTGAGATGATCCTTCAATTATGTACTTTGCCGCCAAACACGTGTGTCATCAAGAACTTTCTTAATATTGTTGCATTTTTATGGCGCCTGCTGCATTATGGAAAAATGAACTAGTGTGATCCCCATGCATCAACCAATCCGCTCGACCTCCATGTGACCAAGAAAATTCTTCTTGATCCATAAGATTTTCAACGAGGACTAAAATTTCCTTTTTCCATGAACAGGGCTCGACATTTATTGGACCAATCATCAGCTTTTCGAGTTCTTTGTTTGATTTGTTGATTCTCCCTTTTGGTCCCAGAGTATCGCGACCCCAAGAATTCAAATCAGCGTGCACTCAGGGATGATGTTACCTATACATGAATGCCCTTGTTGGTTTCTGGTGATTGTATTACATTGTGACACACTAGTGTGCTATTTCTTTGAAATATGTTTATGCGAAAGATAACATTAATGGCCGCCCTGGGATCGCTAGCGAGCGCCCACCCAAAAAGGAAACCACCTGGTCCCTCCGAACCGAAAAAGGAACCCACCCACCCGCCCGCGCAAAACGGTCGCTATCAATCAGAAAAGCTCCTGAAACCGCTCGCGGGGACAGCCGGCCGCGGGATCACGTGCACCCGCGATCGAACCCACCCTCCCCACCCCTTTCGTGTGTTGGATCAAGGCCAACTGGCCCCAAGCTACTTCTTCCCCACGAAAGAAGGATCTTCCCAGGGTGAAATCCTTCATCGCCAGGAGGAAGAACATGGCGGCCCCAGGAACAAAGAAAGAGAAGAGAAGAGGGCTTAGCGATCAGAAGGAAGACTAAGAAAAAACCAGATCAAAAGGAGGAAAAACGTACCTGGAGGAAGAGAGAGGGAATCCAGAGGTGAGCATCTTGATTCCTCTTGTAGACTTGCCCTTATACTGATTTCGTTGCACACATCTTTGATTCATGTATTTGATCGTAAACAATCAAACGAATCCTGCATAGTGTGGTTGAAGAGAAACTGTGCAACCAGTAGGTTGCTTCCGTGCAACTAAGCCAGATAAAGTAGCCAACTGAAGTAGTGATGTGTGCCAGCTCAGTAGATTATGCAACTCTAAACCTATTTTGTGCAACTAACTCAGTTGTGGCATCCAACTATACGCACAAACTATGCAAACGGAAAAAAAAGGCATGAATAAAAAACTTGGCAGGAACTTGACAAATATGGAAGAAAACAACCAATATACGATGACGCACGATATACGATATGTTCTGATACAATATGCAAATATAGGTCTTAAGAAAAAATAGGTTCACACACTGCCATCACAACCTGAAACACACTTCCATCAAGCCGTTGTTCTAACTATGCAAATCTAACTAAATAGCTATAGACAAATATAGTTGAAATCTGATTTTGGTTCTATCTTTGATGTTGCTGTACCAGACCTTGCTTGATATGTTCACTTGCATTAATCTTCAGAAAATCATGCCATCCCCTTCTTGTCAGACCTGCACATTGTAGATAGATAAACAAAAAGAGATGGTCAATAAAATGTAGCTACTGCCTGAATGTTCTAATATTGTGCAACTACTATGATGCTTGTTGCGACTTTGATACTACTTGTGTGCAACTCGTATGCTACATTTTTATCCAGTTTGTATGCTAAATTTTGTCAAACTTGTGTTTTGTGTGAGTGGAATGCTCACAATTTGTCCAACTGGTATGGAAAGTTTGTGCAATTCTATGACACTTTTGTGCAAATGTTGTGCTGCCTTTGTGCAACTGCTGTCAAAAAGTTGTATCCGGAGAAAAAAACACCTAACTATAGTTGCTAGTTATTGCTAGAATGTGCAAGCTTGAAAAGTTGGAGAAACATAACAATGTGCAAAATCCTTGTTCCTCTATGTAAAAACTGACTACTTGTAGTTTTCGAAACAATAAAAATGAGTGCAACGTGATATATCTCCAACTTATCTATAATTTTTTATTGTTCCATGCTATTATATTATCTATTTTGGATGTTTTATATGCATTAATATTCTATTTTATATGGTTTTTGGGACTAACCTATTAACCTAGAGCCCAGTGCCAGTTTCTGTTTTTCTTTGTTTAGAGTTTCGTGGAAAAGGAATACCAAACGGAGTCCAAACGGAATAAAACTTTCGCGATGATCTTTCTTGGACCAGAAGACACCCAGGAGACTTGGAGTGCAAGTCGGAAGAGCCACGAGACGGCCACAAGGGTGGAGGGCGCGCCTAGGGGGGTGGGATGGGCCCCCAACCTTGTGGGCCCCTCGGTGGCCTCTTGACCTAGATCTCCCTCCTATATATATACTCTTGTACCCTGAAAACTTCCAGGGGAGCCACAAAACCACTTTTCCACCACCGC